AGGCCAGTATTTGATATTAACCTAAGGAGTACAGAACAGATAGAGATTATTTGGTCTGCACCAGGAACGAAGTAATAATTAACAAAGAAAGAACATGGGACTTAAAATGGCAGCAACAAAAAGCAGAGTTTATTCACAAACATGGGGTTTGCCCATAAGAAATTTGACATTGTAATGTAAAAAGGTTTTTCTCCAAAGGACAAGCTGAATTCTGCCCCACTGAAGTCAAGGGAGAAGCCCTGCCTTGGATAATTACACAGTCCTTCCTGTTGATCTCACAAAACCGTCAGTATTAATTTCCCAACCATATTCTAAGAAATCAACTGCACTGACACAGGATAATTATTCTCATAGTAGCTCTTTTAAGACAAAAGGATCAACTCACCACAATTTTAACCTTCTACTCTAATAGAGGATACATTAATTTCACTGGAAATAACATTATTTCATGAAAGTAAGAGAGAATTACAACATTTTATTCCCCAGCACATCCAATAGCAAGGGACTGAACGCATGGGAACGTCTCAGCAGTTTGTGTGACTGGAAATGGGCCTGAGCCTCCATATTTATCTACCTCCACCCTCCCACCATGTTGAGCATCACTGGCCTCTCTGTTGTGGTTCTTGTCCATGATTTTGAAGGAAAACCTTGTGCCCACAGCCAGCGAGGAAACATGGTCACAGGTATCCACAGAGCTGTACCACCTCTAATTTAAGAAAATTTTGCTATCCAGAGCAGTAGGAAGGGCAGGTCAAACGTGATATTGCCATGCAACAGGAGGTGGCTGGTGGCTGCTGATGGCTGGAAGGGGAGGGCTGAGCACAGGAGGGACCGGGCTGGGCTCTGACCAGCTGGGAGCTTTTCCCAGCCACTAAAATGTCTCGTTTTGACTCCACCAAACAAAGAGAAAATTTGGGTTCTTCAAAGTTTAGTTATATCTTTGCATTTTTGATACGTGAGATGGTAGAGAAGGTAACCTTTCACTGAGAATATTGGTTCTCTAAGGAATGTATTAGTAGTATATGCAAGGTATTTTTTTGATCCTGGCACTTAAACAGAACAATATTCTTTCATTACTGGATTTTATTTTTTTTTTCCAGATTCATTCCTGAATAGTTGAATGGTGATGAAAAGGACTGGTTGCGACTGGAAAAAAGTAACAGCATTCATTTGATGTTTATTATGAACCTAGATTATTTCAGGAGAGTTGCAACCTCTCAGGTTTCATAATGTGAACGGAAACCGAACACCTCCATGTCACAACCAAATCCTACATTTGGGCACTCAAGGTGACACATAGGTCCATAACATAGTCATTCACTTGCATGCGTACTGCTCTGAGATTCCTGAGGTGGTATCTGGATATCCTCAGATGTTGAAAAAACAACTTGTTATCTGTCTCATAATAAAAATCAATGCATTATATGCAGGAAAAAAATAAAGCAGTATAGTGAATATTCAAGGAGCCAGTTTGGGAAAGTTGCTAAATGTCATGACTTTTTTGTCTCAGGAGTCAGAGTGGTCTGACATTGCATTAGCTTAAAAATAACAGCTGTCACATGTGACCAAGAAAGCTCTACAAAAATGCCTTTGAAAAACTATTACATATAGTTAAATAGAAAGCATGATTAATGAAGCACATGGATTTCACAAGGTCCTTATTATCTAAAGTACTTCTGCACTTATACTTTGTAAAAGGAATTAGCTGAAAAAAGTAGAAGCAATAGAAGAAGAACCTGTAGCTCCCAATTTACAGTATTTTAAAGTACACTCCCTAAATTACTGGAGATGTACAGGGTTTTAGTTGAAAGCTGCCCTTAATTTTAAATGAGTCATACACTAAAAATTCATGCAATTCTTTTTACGAGCCCTTTGTTAAATACGAATTATGGCATGCATTTCCTTTAGTAGGTAAATGAAGAAGCAAACTGCTGCCAAGTAGTGTGTGGCTCTTGCAGGACAGAGGAGAAGATATGACAAGCTTCTCTTTCTACAGTACTTTCCTGAGAATATCCCAGTTCTCATGTTGCAGTAATGAAAGGTGATGGTATTCTAACATATTCTATTGAAACACTGCTCCCAATGGCAACTTACTACCAAAACATCCAAATGCCACACAGGTTAGTAGGGTATTCACTGTACATGTGTGAAAAAACACGTTCAAGGCCTTGGGTGATGCCATAGTCCTGACCTTTCCAGTAAACCCAAAGTGTCCAGGGCTCAATTTGTACTAGTGGCAACTGGGCGGCATAAGATAAAGAGGAAAGCATCTTTGACAAATCATTACATATTGAAGTAAATCTACAGGTGGCACAAAGCACTGATTGCACAGAGGCACAGAATGGTGATTAGGAGCAGGAGAGGATGTTCTTTTAATTAATTGCAGAGAAAGAACTAAAAAAAAAAATATTTAGCTAGACTGCAGCCTAGATCTTCCCTCTCTTTTTATTCAACCAGAAAATCTCCGGAGGCCTTTAAGTGGATAATCTTGTTAGAATGTAGATAATCCAATTTACTGAATATCTTTCCTGCAGGACAGTTTTGTCAATATATTTACCATATAACGTATACATCCTTAGTAGCCTCACTTTAAACAAGTGTCCTCTTTAATCTGTGTTATAACTGAGTCCCCCCTTGCCATGCATAAACAGCTCGGTAAGAACCTGTTTTTCAGATGGCTGATGGCTGCTTTCCAAAGCATTAATTGTCTTTCTGAAAAGGCTTACTGGAGTCAGCACTTAAGAAAACATAGCACCATGATCAGCAGAGAAAAAATTATCTTTCAGAAACAAATTCCTGGAAGATTCTGGCTGTTTATCTCCAGACATAGCAACACGCCTAGCTCTTCTTTAGGCCAAATTGGTAGGAACTACTCCGACAAAACTGGGAACGCAGTTTACCACATCAACTTAATGTGGGTATTTGCTAAATTGCAAACCCAAGGTAGGCAGAGATAAATACAACATCACTCAGGAAGTATAATTTTTGTGTCCCCTAGTCACGCCGGTTACTTTATACCACATGTGAGTCTGACTCCGCAAGAGATTCCTCTGGCTTGTGTGTGCCAGCCTTGCAGGCTAAGCTGAGCCTGTAATCCCCAACACCCGCTTCTGAGGCGAAGTGTTTAACCGTGAGGCTGCCACGCAAAAGGAAGGAGTGGAACATCACTTCTTTTTTATTGAAGAGCCAACTCCATGCAAAGGGTCAGCGATTCTGTGGACTTTTCTGCATCAGCAGCAAATACATGTGTGGGTTTAGGAAGCATGCCAGACACGTGTGTGTCAGGTCCTCCACGAAATAAGACCAGGCAGGTACAAGCAGCTGCAAGACTTTGGAGTTGGGCTCTACTCACCACAATGCAAACTATTTTGCAGATAAAACATGTGCTTTTGAGACCTAAATTTCCTCTCCCCTCCAACAATCCAGCTTTATGCCCTCAAAATTGATCTGATAGGAGTGTTACATTCAGATCTTTCTATTTTAAGCTGAGATTGCTTAATATGGGACGTCGACACATCCAGTGTAAAAAAAGAACCAAAGGACACAGATTACACATGATAACTAATTTTGGAAAGAAAATAGGTTTGAAAAGCCATCACTACGTTATTAAACAGACAATGCCACTGCTCTCCCTAATGAGAGCCAGATAAATAATCTTGTACCCATGAAAAGGTCAATAAGTTACCATTCTAAAGCAGTCTGTCTCTTTGGCATATATCCAAACGACCAATTAACAATTCACTGCTTCTAGAAGACTGGTGAGAAAGTTAAGCTTGCGTTTTTCTAGAAGGTTTAGAGTATTTCAGCATTGCATTTTTCCAGCATTTTTCTCTCCTAAGTGTTTTTGCCATACCAGTAATGATGATCCAGGAGACAAAGGGAGTGGGGTGAGCGGAAAATGTATTTGTACCCACGTTGACAGAGATAAAAGCATATTAATGTTCAACAGCTAGTGGCTGTAACGAGCCCATGAAACTGATGAGAGGACTGACAAGGCTAGCCAGAGCTTCTTGCCTGCCCATAAATAAGATCTAGTGGCTATACAACTATTTTTGAAGGAGCACAGAGACAGCCTTGCAAGCAATATGTTGCGAAGGTCATTAAACTGATGGGCTGTGGTGTCTAGGCTCAGTCTGAGGCATTAACAGTGATTAACTTTTCTCTCTTTTTTTTTTTTAATGAAAACCACCAGTAAATATATATTTTTCTGTGAGATTTTCTGAACTGTGTTTTAACAGTTCTGCCACAGTGCTGTTGTGAAGAATCAGATCGCGCATTGTGTACCCTGCCAGACTGCCACCATGGCCAGAAACTTCAGAAGAACCACAAGCCCAGCAATGGGCAGATACCTGAGTCCCCTTGATTTGGCGTGCTGGTTGCAGCTGGCTTTCGCTATACCTCTTTACACCGAGGCACAGGGGTGCCTGCGCCAGCTGTTCTGACTTGTGGGGCAGACCAGGAAGATCAACAGAGGTCTACAGCAGGGTCTGCAACAGAAGGTTGGGCCAAGGACCTCTCTGAGTACAGGAATCCATCTCCAGCTCTGCTCCTTCAGCGTGGACTATTTGGAAAGCTGGCATGGACCCCAGCTGGGGGGAAGACACGGCACATGGGCAACAGGAGTACATCCCAGTGGGACCAGCATCAGGTTTGCTTTTCCACTCACACACAACCCTATGTACGGTCGGACAGAATCTCCTCATCTGTTTTGTGACAAGATATTTATGAAAGCACTTCCTATTCCTTTCTAACTTCCAGCAGTTAATGGGAGAATTAGGCTGTGATGTACAGGGGTTTGCTAGTTTCCCTTCATGGCCTTAAAATTTTTATCATTTCTCAAATAGCTGTTTATAGTGTTTCTGTCCACACAGCTGCTTAACCTTTTTCTGAATTATTTTACACTCTAATCCACATGTTTACAACCTTTTGCTTCTGCATTGTGTAACACCGCCCCCAAACCCCCAGAACAACAAAAAAAACCAGAACTGGACACAAAACCCATCAGTCCATTAACTCCCCTCAGCATCTTGCCTTATATTTTCACTAATTGACCCTTCCTTGTATGTCACAGGAAGGTGAATACCAGGACTGGGTTACCTTTACCAGCTGCCATTTTGCAGCATTCTGTCAAGGTTTCTGCTTTCTTATTAAATTAACAGTCCTATTCTTTCAAAGAGTAAAGGTCTCTGCCTTTTCAAGGGTGGGTTTCTAAAAGGGCAAGCATCAGTGAGTGAAACAAGGGGATAGAGAAAATGGCAGCCTTTCCTACAGATACGTGCCAAGAGAGAGCACAAAGGTATGATTGTACATAGAGTGACTTGAGCATGATGTAACTAGGTATCACATCCAGCTCACTGCTCCATGGAAGGCTCCTACAGGGACTTTGGGTCCTGCTCCTGATCCCTATGGCGTGAATTGATGTAGCTCTGAAGCCAAAGGTGTTGCACTGATTTATACACCCAACACAGCTATCTCCAATCTTGTCATTAGCACGAAAGATACATTCATCTGTTCAGATGCTCAGAGCCATGAAGCCTGCAGCTTTTATAGTATTTTTAGTCATACAAGAGGCTTGGTGTTGGGGGTTTTTTTTGCCTCCTAAAATGAAGGCACAGAGAGGATGCAACATAAATCCATTAGTGGAGTAAACATCAAAGATGGATTTTATCAATATAAATTAGAGAAAAGCTTTGGCACAAGAGTGAATGTGAATTAAGTGGCCATGAATAAAATTAGAGGAAATTTTCTAGTCACCATATCATTGAGTTTCTGGAAAAGCCTCCCCGGGAAAAAAGAGAGAAAGCAGGGAATAGTGGAGAGCATCAAGAATGTTAATAAAGCGCTTAAGTAATGGTATACATGGAGTAGAGCCAGTAAGAAATAGGCTGGAGAGTCTCTTCCAGTCCTGTATACGCACAAGAGAGAAAAACTTTAAAAAATACCCAAAATAAATTTTACTCTGATTTCAGCTAATGAGTAGAACTTGCTAATGAGGAATGGGGAATGGTTAGTTAGACAAGCAATTCTCTATATATTTAATCTGTTGCTTCTACAGGTCATAGTAGAGCTGCTGCAGCTGAATTTTTATACAGGTAGCATGTCTGAATGTTTGAGTCAACATATACGGGAGTGTGCAATGACAAATGTTCAAAAGAGGAGCATCCACCAATGTTAAGAGAAAAAATTCCACTACTTCAGATATTTTACCTTTTCCTCATGACCTATAATTTGTGTGTACCACATTTCAAAAATCACTGAAATTAGTGTGTTCATTACTGTGTTCACATTTCTTCAATTTTGTATGGGATAAATGTGCTCTCATTCTTTCTATCCACCTATACACCTGACAACTGTACTACCCATAGCAGCTTGTTCTGGAGATTTTACATGTGACAAACAAATGCTGTGTATTCATTCATAGGTAGCCAGAATTACTCAAAGACAGTAACTGCTGAATGACTCAGGCTTGAAACCAAAGGCCATATGATGTTTCCTCACGACAACGCAAATTTAAAGCTTGATTTAAATCTGCCAGGAGATAATTGATTTAATACTGCCAGGAGAAAAAAATCCGTGTTTCAGTTATGCACATACAAAAGTTAAAGGATATCAAGGTGCCTGGTTAATATGATAAAGCAGATATTGGTAAAAGTACTGGGGAGAACGACAATCCTACGGCAACTCTAACCACATATTCCTGTTCAATGAGGGTTTAAATTATAATGGTTTGTGTAGTGCTAAATACACCTTATATCCAAAGGCCAAACCTTAAATCTCAAATCTTAATGTTCGGATTCAAACCAATGCCTTTTGTCTTTTTTTGAGCCCAGAACCTGTCAGATACTAGTGATTTTCAGATATCTTAAACACTCATTAGCTTACTGGAGCTATGCTTATTAGACCACTGACCTGATCATCCCATCTATAAGAAATATCTAACTAGACAATTAAGCACTTACTCTTATGTACTCAAGTGTAGAAATCATGATCAGGGTTTTTGAATGAGTAAGGCTTCTTGTGTAAGTAAGGAAAACAAGGTTAGGTGTATGTGCTCAGGTGGATGGACATATAAAAGTTAAGCTAATATCCTGCTGGATGTATATGCCATTGTTCAGCAAAGAGCACTGTGGGAGCTTATTTAGCTACAGCAATTAAAGTAATTGCTGTTAAACAGAGTTCATTGGACTTCATTGGGGGTTTAATGCAGAGGAGAGATTATTAGTCATGTTAAGATCATGTGCTAAAAGCTATGAAAATCTTTTCGGGTAACAGTTTATTTTAAGGATGGATTCAATTATCACTGAATTGTGATGGCAACCCCATGGGAGCAGATGTGACAACCACAGTTGTGCAAGCAACATTCTTGATGTGGCTGGCTAATGAAATAAAGTTATAGCATACATCAATACATTGGTATTCTAAGGTTTTAATCATCTCACATGAAGTGTTAATGAAAACCATTGCTATAGCACTGCCATTGCTAAAGAGAATGTGAAGACTTAAGAACACGTGTGCGAAGTATAACAGGAGGCAGAGCCATAGCAAAGACACGTCCCAAAGCTCTCAAGAGGAATTGCAACCTAGACCTGTTTTTATAGACCTAAAAAAAGCCCAGCTCCTTTCTCATACTCAGTTTCAACCTGTTGCTTAGAAAGGCTCAAGGATCTGGTGTGGGGGACTCCTCCATGGAGGATATTCAGCTTTTCTGAGGATTGTGTGCAGTCCTAGGGACGAAAGTGTGGATTGACAATGTGCAACCAGTGAGGGAAGAGGGGGCATTGTCCCGTCTCATCAATGAAAATGCTCAGCATGGGTTGGACAGAAACACATCTGTTTCATTCGAAACGAGTACAGTACTTGCAAAAAGCAAAAGATCTTACAAATATCTGAGGCTCGGAAGGTCTTGGAAGGCATCCTGATCAATGTACACGAGGTTGTTGGCCTTCTCAATTCTTCTGCAAAGAGAAAATGAAACATCAGAGGAAATATATCGATACATTGATCTTAAAATATCTGTGGTTGCCCCAGGATGTCCTGGTACTATACACTGAGATTTTTTTTTTTTTTTTTTTTTACGGCAGAAACTCTGCACAATTTAAAAGAGAC